AGTGTGGGACAAATAAAGCTGATCTTATGTTATATATATCCATCCATCCATTTTCTGATCCGCTTTATCCTCACAAGGGTCGCGGGGGGTGCTAGAGCCTACCCCAGCTGTCTCCGGAGGTGGGGGAAAACCCTGAACCGGTTGCCAGCCAATCGCAGGGCACACGGAGAAAAACAACCATCCGTGCTCACACTCATACGTAGAGACAATTTAGAGTGTTCCATTAAACTGCCACGCATGTTTTTGGAATGTGGGAAGAAACCGGAGTACCCGGAGAAAACCCACGCAGGCCCGGGGAGAACATGCAAACTCCCCACAGGAAGGCCGGAGCCAGAATCGAACATGGAACCTCTGCAATATGAGGCCATCGTGGTAACCAGTTGATTACCGGGCCACCCAGGTAAGTAATTCAATCCAACACCCCCCCCCCCCCAAAAAAATTTTTCCAAAGAGCCTTAAATGAGAAATCAGCAGACTTGCTGATTTCTAAAGACAAGGGGCATTCGCAAAATTTTCAGACAGGTTCTGACAGGAGTGGAGTGGAACGAAAGGGAGCAGCTAAATCACGCCATGGCCACAAACATTCTTCTCACAGACACCCGCTAAAATTATACTTTATGTGTGGTAAATAAAAATGCAAAATGAGTGTGCTCAGCTGTAATTAATGCAAAGTGACATATCTAAATTTCCTACGTGTTTAATGGCAAAGGTGCACATATTATACCCAAATCCACTGCAAGGAATGTCTCATTTTGACATCAACGTCAGAAAAGAAGCTTTTTTTGAGCTTTATCCGACTGTAATAAACGTTGCATGATAAATGTGACTGGGCTTTATTTTGTCAAACAAAAATGTTACTCACCTTTCCGAAGGGTCCTCAAACGTCCATTTGCCCCACATTTGTCCGCCAGTGCAGAATGTTTTCGGGTCTCCTCTTTTCAATTCGCAGACGCCGGACGTCTGCGGAATTCACCAGAACTGTTTACACACGCGCTGGCCCACACACTTGCATACTTTCCAGCAGACGTCCTCATTTTGTCTGTCGACAACAGAAGTAACAGTTGCTACTTGTCGGTGTGCCGTCAAGATTCACGGCTGTGATGATTCACGCGTTACTTGCACACAAAGAAAATGATGTTTTTCTCCCTCATCACCCTTCACTTTTCAATTCCAATCGATTTTTTCAGATCCATGCTTTGTACTATCCTACCCTCTACTGGTGGAGGAACAGAATGATGGCTTCAATTTTTATTTCTGAAACGCCAACTGGAATGTAAAACGAGACACAAATCGATAAATGGCTCGTACAGGCACGGCGCCAAGATTTTTTCTCTATAGGTGTAGAGTGCTGACTGAAAAAAAATACTTCACTTACTTGAGAGGTTCTCTCGGTTTTCTTTCAATAAAAAGTGTAATACACAACACAAGCATGTTCGTACAGAAACGTGGAACTGCCAATGAGGACTAAACTGTTTGACAAGCAAACTCGTTCGAATATATTTGCAAAGTGCGTTCAAACGTATTGATAAAGTGTAGAATAATGCTAAAAAGAACATGATTTCGGGACGACTTTTTTCCCGTAATCCCACGGGGTATTGATTTGCACATGGTACTATGGTAAAAATCAATACATTCAAAAGTGTTTGCAAATATGTTCGAAAGTGTACTACTGTAACTATAAACCTATGGCGCGAGTAACTGAAAGACCCACCCCTATGCTACCCTCGCAAACACACGCTACAGTTGTCACACAAACACGGGAACAGGAATTGTATTTGGGACAGAACAGATTACTTGTGAACTTTTTCATGTTTTTTTTTAATTACTTAGTTACTTACTTTATTTAAGTCAACTTACTTACCGGTACTTATTTATTAAAATTAATAAATAAATAGTGGGCGGCATGGTGGACGACTTGTTAGCACATCCGCCACACAATGCAGAAAGGTCATGAATTCAAATCCAGCCTTCCCCTGCTGACTCAGCAGTGCTGAGTTCTCCCTGCGGCTGTGTGCGCTTTCTCCGGTTGCTTCCTACATTCCAGAAACATGCATGGAAGGTGAATTGAACACTCTCAAATTATCCATCGGTGTGACAGTGCGGGTGAATGGCTGTTCGTTTATGTGTGCCCTGCGATTGGCTGGCAACCAGCTCAGGATGTACCCTGAGACAGCTGGGATAGACCCCAGCACGCGCGCGACGCTCATGAGGCTAAGCGGTTCGGTTAATGGATGGATAAATTGCTAGGGATGCTGAACGGAGGCTCGTCAGATTTCTGATGTTGTTATAGCACACTATACCCGGTGTGGCGCTAAGCATGGACTTGCATATTTGTTTTGGGTCTGGTTGTCACCGACAGTTTTTCCCATACTGACCAGGAGATGGCGACAGCGTTGCGTCTGAAGACGATATTGTGTTCCGCAATGATTTATGAAAGTCCTAAATTCCAGAAACGCTAACTACACGCGTGGGGAAAAATGCTGGTACCCCTCTATTAAATGAAATTAAATAAAAATGTAAATGTAAACAAAGAAATAATTAAAATGAATCAATGAGAATCAGACATTGTTTTTGAATTGTGGTTCAGCAGATAAAAAAGGAAAATAATAACAATGATAATCGGGCGGCACGGTGATCAACTGATAAGCAGTCTGTCTCACATTGCAGAGGTGCAGGGTTCGATTCAGGCTCCGGCCTTCCTGTGTGGAGTTTGCGTGTTCTCTCCTGCTTGCATGGGTTTTCTCCAGATCCTCCGGTTTCCTCCCACACTCCTAAAAATATGCATGGGAGGTTGATTGGACACTCCAAATTATCTTTAGGTGTGGTTGTGAGTGTGAATGGTTGTTCGTCTATGTGTGCCCTGCGATTGGCTGCCAACTGGTCCAGGGTGTCTCGCACATGCTGCCCGAAGACAGCTGAGAAAGGCTCCAGCACGCCCTTGTGAGGATAAGCAAATTAGAAAATGGATGGATAATACCAGTAATTATTAATTAATTAAACAGGCCTGGACTGAAAATGCTGGTACCCTTAATGTTTTGTTCCAAATCAATTGAGGCAAATGCTGCAATCAAACAATTTAACTTTCAGTGGTACTTCTGAAAGTTATTTTGCAAACTGCTCCAGCTGTCCCAGATTTGGAGGTTGCTTTCTCCAGATGCCATGTTTCAGCTCTTTCCACAGATGTTCAACAGAATTTAGATTCGGGCTCATCAAAGGCCACTTCAGAGGACTGTAGTCCGATGCTTTTGGTCATTCTTGGGTGTTTTTAGCTGTGTGTTTTGGGTAATTATCCTGCTGCAAGACCCGCGAGAGGTGACTGAGACCAAGCATTCTGACACTGTAGAACCTTGGTGGTTTTGAGATTTCATTGTACTCTGCACGAGGGCCATGCAATAAGTTCAAAAGGGAGAATATGGATATTGTTTGTGAGTGTGCGCGTGAGTGTGTGTGTGTGTGTGTGCGTGCGTGCGTGCGTGCGTGCGTGCGTGCGTGCGTGCGTGCGTGCGTGCGTGTGTGTGTGTGTGGAAGCACTATAAAAATAACATGCTCAAAATACAATTTGTGGCCAAAATAAATTTGTCGCTTCCTACGAGACGGTTGGTTAGCAAATCAAGAGTTCCTTTTATACAAGTGGTAAGGTAAGATTCTGCTTGGCGAAGGCAGACAATTTTTGGTCTGCTCCTGCTTCTCCACCCCCACTCCTCTGCTTGCTGACTAGGTCAAATGTGCTGTATTTTTTCTGCCGGAAAACAAACCATGGAATTAGTCAGCTCATTAGTCAGACTTGCACTATGGATACAATATTTTTGACGACAAGAGCAGGGGTGGGGAGCCTTCTTGCCCCCCTGGGACATTTACTGATGGGCGCACCTCGGATCCTTGGCAGAAGTGGAGTTTGGTTTTCCTGATAATAATGGCCATAGAGTTTGTGGAAGAATTCTACATTATTGACCTTATGATAATAGGTATCCTGCTGTTTGGAGTTGGTAGTTTCCTGATTTATTGCAAAATTTAGTCAGTGGGAGCAGCTTCATTAGAAAGGAACATGCTGCCGTCCTTTCTGGATGATGTGTGTGTGTGGGGGGGGGGGGTGATCAACACTCAGACTCATGCGTTGAGCTCAATCGCAAAGTGGATGCAGTGTTGGAAGTCGCTTTGTAAAATGGAAAAGAACGAGTAGTTGGCCCGGCCTGGAAAATTGGATTGATTGATCGTGGATTCGGCTAATTGACCTTCAAGGCTGTCTGAAATTGTGGATGGCCTGTTCTCAAAACAACTGATCTGTGGACATTCCCCTGGATGGAAAAATACTCTCGGACGCGAGCATTCCGATCAGCCCCCTCACGTCTCCTTCCCAAGCTGAGACTGATAAGGTTTGCCTTTGCATCTGCGAATGCCTGACATGCATACATAAACAAACGATAATAACGCTACATAATGCCCTTGAAATGTCAATGGCTTCGTTGGATTCCTGTTCGCTCCTTACTTGACTGACAGCGCTCCTATCTGAGCTGCTGTCTGACCCCCTCTCTCCACTTACAGTACATCCTCCCCGTTAGCTACGTTTTAAGTCTCGAGATCTGTCGTACATGTCTTTTAAATGTATGTGACATGTGCTGAGGTATTTGTTGTGTCCGAAAAACGTGAGGACACGACTTACTTTTTCAACGGTCTTTATTCAACTGCCGTAATAGGTGTCAGTCGTCACCCAACCAACCAATGCTTTGCGACACTGCCGTAACATCGTGTAGCAGTATGGTAAACGGCCATATGCTACATTTACCCCCTCCCTCGATGGAATCTGGAAAACTTCACAAATCACAAACAACCTAAACAAGGGCTAGAATGAAGCCCTTCCTGAGCTGAGCAAACCGGGTATACTGCTGGTTTACCCACTTAGCCTTGTGGGTTATTCTGCCACGCAACAGGCTAAGCACTGGCTAAAACTTAATATTAGAAGTCAGTGATGTAATCGTCTAAATAACGAGGCCGAAGGTGGACCCGAGCTGGACGAGGCTCCGGTCCCTCGGGCAAAGCTGGTTCACCATGTTCTTGACGGCGCCTCACTGGGGTCCTAGGACAAGCAGCAGGAAAATCATAGTCCTTGTCCGAGATGTCCAGATCTGCTACAGCTCTTTCATTCAAAGGAGTCGGTGATGCCACTCTCCTGAGGCGGCTGGCATGCCAACGTGACCCGTCGGCCAGACGGAAGGTGGCTGGTCCGAGTTGGGCAGTAATCTGGACCGGCGCTGTCCAGAATGAGTATAATTTGTGTGAATGGCCGGGCCGGCGACTGCGGACCCAATCTGACACAGTAAGTGTGGGTTGCTTGGCCCGGCGCTTCTCATCAAATCGCCGCTTCATACGCTGCTGCTCATTGGCCACCCTGCTGGCTGGGGAGGGCGCTTATGCTGGAGTGGCTCTTGTCGGAGGACGGAGGCAATCGAGGGGCAGCTGCAATTCGCGTCCCAGCATAAGGAAAGCTGGGGAGGTGCCAGTCGTGGCATGAGGTGTTGCTCTGTAATGCAACAGAGTGCCCTGTAGTGCGGAAGAGAAGGGAAGGCCGTCTGCCAGGTGTGCTCTTAGTCCATTCTGTAGGGTTTGGTTGAACCTCTCTACGCTTCCGTTGGCCTGGGGGGTGATACAAGGCGGTCCTGATATGCTTTATCTCCCTCGCTCCCGTGAAAGCTGCGAAGTCAGCTGAGATGAACTGAGGCCCATTATCCGTCGTGATAACGTCAGGCACGCCCCATCATGCAAAAAGAGAGGATAGGAAGTCTGTGACGACTTTGGTCGTGATTGACCCAGCAGGCAGACCCTCAGGCCATTTTGAGCGGAGGTCGTATGGCACCAGGAGGAATCGCTGGTGTTGAGGCATGGCATGGAGCTCACCGCAAATGTCGACCTGGATATGAGTCCATGGGCTGGCCGGCCATGCCACGGGCTGCAGAGGGGGAGGAGGGGTGTGGCCAGTCTTGCCGCTTGTGAGGCATGCTGAACAGTCCTTGACCATGGTCTCCATATCATTGTCAATACCTGGCCACCACACCAGGCCCCTGCAGCGTTGCTTGACCCTCATGATACCCAGATGTCCCTCGTGAACCATGGTCAGGATGCGGGGCCTCAAGGTGAAAGGAACCACAGTACAAAGCCCCCTAGCCACACAGACATCGTTCCAACAAGAAAGCTCACCCTTCACCCGGTGGAAGGGTGCAAGTTCCTCCGAGACCTTCGCGGGCCAGCCCTCACGGATGAAGGTCCGGAGCTTGGTTAGTGTTGGGTCTACGGCGGACGCAGCCTGAAGGTCTTGCAGTGAGACGGCAGCTTGGAGGGGCGTGTGGAGATGGAGGATCAAACCTTGTTCCAAGGCGTCATTGTCTGTGTCCGGTGCGGGACTGGGCGTGGCACGGGAAAGCAAATCCGCCACCACGTTGTCCCTACCTGGTGTGAACTGGGTGGTGAAATCGTAAGCTTGCAATCTCTCAGTCCACCTATACAACCGCAGCGGCTTGGGCCCCGACCCGGTTGTAGCTAATAAGGCTGTGAGAGCCTTGTGGTCGGTGCGGAGTGT